GCTTCTTACAGTGATATTAAGGGTGATAGACCATACCAATATAACACTTGAGTTGCAATCAGCTATCAAGGGCTCTCGCAGCCCTTACAACGTTGGAGTACTGACACATTGCAATTGAATTCTTTTTTAATTAAGTACATTGGATTAAAAGCTATTTTGATAAAATATGACCTTTATAAAAAGCCAAAAAGAAGAGAGATTTTTTTTTGTCTCGACCTGTTACATGGGCCTCCGATTTTTGGTACATCTTGGTGAAATGTTGAACCGTGGCTGTTTCATTAAAACTTTGTGGAGGGCTCAACTCAGTATTTTTCTAAACCACAAAATGAACTCAAAGATTAGGTATTATTTTACCAAGTGTGTGGCAAATTTCAAATTTCACAAATTGTTAGGACCATCAAAATCAGCCTCTTTTTTCTGGCCAAACACTGCTTTTTTTCCTGGTCGTCTCGAACATCTTCGGATGCAACACCCAGTCTCAGGACAATCGAATAAAATGAATTTTTAAAAATGTGACCTCTAAAAAAAAAAAAGCCAAAAATGGGTCCAAACATGAAAGAAACTTCAAAATGGGAGACTTCCTGTCAGCTTTTTCTGTAGGTCTTGGGCTTTTACGGATACCTCCCAAATTTTGTCGATCTTGGTGACACGTACAACCAGCGCTGCTTCCCTCAAAGTTTTTAGGGGGCGTTGTTTGAGCCAGTTTTTAAAAATTGCACAATATCCTAAGAAAATATTGATGTTGTTGCTAACACTCTCAATTGTCCCGAGGTGTGAGTGTGAGCGCGGATGGTTGTTTGTCTATGTGTGCCCTGTGATTGGCTGGAAACCGGTTCAGGGTGTCCCCCGCCTACTGCCCAAAGACAGCTGGGATAGGCTCCATTATGCCTGTGTCTCTTGTGAGGATATGCAGATTAGACAATGGATAGATGAATGGATGGATGAATGTTGTTGCTACGCCTGATGTGTTTGAAAGGTTTTGAGTTTTTGTGCATCTTTTTAGAATTTTAGAAGTAGTGCTGTTTTCATGTTGCAACATCATCCGGCCTACACACTCTTCTGGGCAAATATGAGGTAAATCTGGTCAACCCGCTGTTAGTAAAACGTCCAAAAGTTAAATATATATTTCCTTCAGTTAGTAGATGGCAATGCCCCTACGCCTTGAATATGATGATGATGATAATAATAATAATAAAAATAATAATAATCTAGTAATTTCCACAAAAGAAATCGTGACTTTGCTGCGGTGGCTGCTCAGGTCCTTAATGCAAAAGGCTTGTTTTTGTTAATTATGTGACTCTATTGTGACATGTTGCTTTATGTTGTCAGTTGCTATGGCGCTTTATTCTGTCACCTTTTTTGTGTCATGTAGGATTGGACACGGCTCGATGTCTCTCAGTATTTATGCTCGGGGGTGACTCAGTGACACGTCAGAACATCAAGATTTCTTCCATGCCTTCCTGCCCCCAAAAGTCTTCTCGTTTGTTACTTTGTATTTTTCTGTTCTGCATCTAGCCCTGCTCACTGTTGTTTGTTTGTATTATTGTACAAAAGACTCTCTGGTTTCCAAATTCTGTTCCTTGCGTGACAGTATGATCTGAGCAGTCATGGATCCAGCAGACTCAGACATGATCCCCGAAGCCCTTCACTCCCATGGAGCACTGCTTGGCGAACAGAGACATAAGAATCATTTGCTTCTTTTTTTCTGAGATATGTCGAGTCTTTGAACAGCCCTTTAGTAATTAATCAGTGCTTTGTCAAACAGCTCATGTCATTACGTCAGAGCTCAGTCAACAGCAGACTATACCATCGAGTTCAGGATTTTGGCCTCTGAGAATAATTGAAATGAGGCTGGACAGCTTTTATTTGCGAACTTACAGAGGAGCTTCAAGATCAGCTGTCCACTCGGGGTGAGCCGAGTCCGTCAAGGAGTTCATTTCCCTCGTGATTCATACTGACAACCGCATAAGAGAACACTGTTGAAGTGCCCAACCTGCCCGCCCTTCCTCCCCTTGTGCTGCTGCTCCTCAACTGGTCGCACAGCCCTTCACAAGCCCCAAAGCACCTGCTGCCGCCAGGGAAGAACCAATGCAACTCGGCAGAACACTCCTCCCCGAAGAGAAACACGCCTGGCTTATAAACCTGGGTTCATTTTATTCATGTCACAAATCTCGGTTCAATTTGGTCCTCATTTTGGTATATCGCTGGTTTGAGTTTTTTTGTGACATACCTACAACGTGTAACTTATGATCTTAGGTTTTGGACCAGTGTGATACTGGATTGGCCACCGTGTGAATGTCTGATCTGGCTCACTGTGATACAAGGAATGCTCATTGAGTTTGTGTGGGTGCTCAGACGGATTGGAAAATTAGAGGGAACATTGCTTCACAGTCATCCGTAGAAAACCCTTGAGGCACAAGAGTTTTCTTTCCCATGATAGTCTTCATTGACCCGGATGGAAAGTGGCAGGAAGTAGATGAGTCCTGAGGTTGTTCTTTTCACAAAAGAATGTAGTTAACAGCGGCCAAGAATATTGCGAGAAACGTTGCGATGTGTATTTCACTTGCAAAGACATTGAAATAATTGTAATTATGGATGGATTTTTCAGATGGGAAATGTGAGAGAGTTCCACTCTGTTAGGGACAAAAAACATATTTAACAAAACTTCGTTTTTATAATATGTGTCCCTTATTCCATTCCAAGTTTTATTTTTTATTTTTATTATTTTTTTTAATCTTTCTTACACAATAATGTGGTGGGAATTGTTCAGTCGAATATGTATTCAGGGTTTAGGACCACTGAAAAAAATATTTAAAAATAGTCTGCAAATTTGCTGATGAGATGTGCGATTAGATGAAACATGTTGAATTGTCTTAAAATTTAGGGGCTAAATGACACCATGTAGGAGCAACTGATACTTTACACACCAGATTCAAATGATCAGGATCATTATCAGGCTTCTCCAGAGATTGCTGGTGAGCTGATCATTTGAATGAGGTGTGTTAGAGCAGGGTGACATCCAAAACAGGCTGGATGGGGGCTCTCGAGGACCAGACTTGGGCACCCGGCTTTAGTGGAACGGGACTTGCTAATAATCTGCAAGATTTCCTCATGTGAAAAAAGTATGTTCTTTAGAACAGGGGCCCCCAACCTTTTTTGCCCCACGGACCGGTTTATGTCAGACAATATTTTCAGGGACCGGCATTTAAGGTGTGGCGAAAATAATACAACAAAATAATATAGTATGAGCTGCATGAAAACTGTGGCGTTTTCGAAATATAATAATAAACACAAGGGGCGTCTAATCTGGCCGAAACACTCCGATCGCTATGGCAATGTTTAATGCCTTCAAAATACGAAACAACGCAAATTCAAAATGCATGAAAATGACGACTCACCACAGCACCGAGCTTGATTTTCTGCAACCAGACGGTCCCATCTCGGGGTAATAGGAGACAATGACACCTCAAGTGTGTGGTTTATGTCCAGTCTACTTCGTAATTTTGTTTTCGTCGCCGTTGCCGCAGAAACCACCCACCTCACACAGGTGGGATGTCGGAAATAGCAACAGTGCTATTGTGGCGATCTCAGAGTATTCAGCCATAACTTTAATCCAGTTGTCTCGAACGTACTTTTAAGGCCGCCGTGATTTGCGATCTCCAGCAGTTTTTTTTACTCATTTTGCGAGCTCCTGCATTTTGTTTTGAAGTACTCGGTCACGTGACAGAGAAGCGCGGCTTGACGTGTGTCAAGCGTGACACAGACGGATGTAACGGAGAATCCGGTAGTTTTTCAAAATAAAACATCTTTCGTATTCCGAAATAAATAAAACGGAATTAAGGCAAGTTCTTTCTGCGGTTGGGGACCTCTGCTTTAGAAGGTTCTTAGGGCCCCATTTTTCAAATTTTCACCCCACCCTGGGGGTGGTCATTGAACTTAATCCGTTCAGGGACAATGGTTACTGCAGTGGACATCTTACCATGTTTTCCGATTATAAGGTGCATTAAAGGGTCAAAAACGGAAGCTAGATTTTCCCCATGGCCCACGGTCTATGAATAATGTTGTCTACAAAGCCATAAAGAGATATGTAGCAACTTACGTCTCATTGTTGTTTGCAGAGCAATATCTACATACATACACCTACTGATGGCATACTATGATTTACTATTTTCTGAAGATTGTTTACAATACTTGCACGATGTAACTGATTCAATCATATCATAAAAATTCATAATAATGATCATAAAAAATACAATAAAATGATTATGGGGGTATGGCGATCAACTGGTTAGCACCTGCGCCTCAGAGTGCAGAGGTCGTGGTTTCGAATCCGGGCTTGCGTGGATTTTCTCCAGGTACTCCGGTTTCCTGCCACATTCAAAACATGCACAGTCGGTTAAGTCATCACTCAAAATTGTCTGTAGGTGTGATTGTGAGAGTAGATGGTTGTTTGTCTATGTGTGCCCTGCGAGTGGCTGGCAAACAGTTCAGGGTGTCCCCCGCCTACTGTCCGATAACAACTGGAATAGGCTCCAGCACGCCCATGACCCTCGTGAGGATAAAGCGGTTGAGATAATGGATAGATAATATTAATATAGGTGTTTACCTGAGTATATACAGTAAATGTATGTATATTTTAACATATCTCTTTGCATGTAGAGCATGTATGTGTACATTATATCTGTATGTATGGATTGTATCTGTGTATATATTTATATATGTATAGTGTGTATATGTGTATGCATGTTAGTATGTATGTGAAAAAGCACTTTATTGTTTTCGACCTAATTTTTGGTTTATATCAGGAAGTGGCAAGTGGCGTCCAAAGTTGCCTCCCGGGAGGGTTGATGGAAACAGAATGTCCCCTCCCATCGTTCAGGTTGCTTATCCCTGCTCTATAACCTCATTGAATTTGATAAACCACGATCACGTGACTACGCACTTCAACCCTGCCAACTCCCACCCCTTTGCGCGTGCACGAGAGTGCAGGTAACGTGACCAAAAGTAGGAGGCCCACTTGAGCGTTCTCGCTACCCCTTTTAGGAACGGACAGAACAGGCGCACACACACATCGCCTGCACAGTCACGCATACAGGCACCCTGACCGCTAAGCCTCGAGTACGGAGTCAGCTTTTCCTCACTCGATCCGCTACTTCCCCAAACAGCAAGTTCAGCGTCCCGCTTAGCTCACAACTTTTCTCAGCACAGGTGGTGTTCGTGATGGCGCCCCTCACGCGCCTCGCTTTACTGCCGTTAGTTTCGGCCGTGCTTTTGCTTCCGGTGTCCGCAGAAGAGGCCGCGAGCAGCGGCGGCGTGAACGGCTTCAGCCTGCATCCGCCGTATTTCAACCTGGCCGAGGGCACCAAGATTACTGCCACTGCCACCTGCGGAGAAGACGAGGCTGGAAAGAGCGTGCCCGACCTCTACTGCAAGCTGGTCGGCGGACCGGTTTCTGGAGACCCGGGACAGACCATCCAGGTGAGCCCTACCGAAACGAACTGACGACGCGACTCCCGTGGGCTGGCGATCAACAATGCAGTAACATCACCAGTGACACCTTTGACACAAAGGAAATAACTTTTACCTTGTTGTAACACCCACAGCTGAAAAGTCATTTTGTACTGCTTTACTGTATATTGCTCCACACAGGGAGGCCGGAGCTGGAATTGAACCCGGTACCTCTGCACTGTGAGGTCATATGCGCGCGTGTGTGTGTGTGTGTGTGTGTGTGTGTGTGTGTGTGTGTGTGTGTGTGTGTGTGTGTGCGTGCGTGCGCGTGTGCGTGTGCGTGTGTGTGTGTGTGTGTGTGTGTGTGTGTGTGTGTATAAAGCAGCTTGGATAATGGATGGAAAGCATTTATTTTTCAAAAATGACATGGGAAAAAAAGGCATAACATTTTACAATTAATAAAGTATAAATATTGCGATTGGCTGGCAACCAGTTCAGTGTGCACCCTGCCTACTGCCCGAAGACAGCTGGGATAGGCTCAAGCATGCCCCGCGACCCTTGTGAGAATGAGCGGATTAGAAAATAGTTGGATGGATAAACTATAAATAATACATTACTCATGTCACAAAATACAAAGTGCAAAGCAAAATGCTTTGCATTGAACAACACCAGGAAGGATGTTCCTTGTACAGTCGGTTTTCAAGAACACGTGGTCTGCCGCCTGCCGCGTGATGAGTTCGAATCCAGCTTGGACCAAAATATAGCAAAAAAAAAACCCCAAACAAATAAACAAAACAAAAGAAGTTTGCAAGTAGGGCTGAATGATTAATTGCATTTCCAGTATAATCGAAATGTGATTTACTTATCGCAAAAGCTGGAATTTAAATGGTCATTAAGACACAGGAGGGAGGGAGGGAATGGAGGGCCGCCGCATAGCTGTATATAGTTTTCTGTCGAGCGCCTAGCTCAGATGTCAGATATTTTGAGGATAAATCAGTCTGAATGTGGCCAGATGTATGGTATGTCCTGTGTGAAGATTAAAAAAAGACTGATGGATGAGAGACAGACAGATCAATGCATGCATAGACAGAGATATGGAAATATCTAATTGAATTTATTTTATGAAATCTTTTTTTTTTCCAATTTTAGTTTTACTTATTGTATTCATTTCCATTCAACATAACAAATGCACGTTTATTGTACCTTATTGTGATTAAACAGCATTGTATTGTTCTGCCTATATTCATCACTGTCATAGATGAACAATTATGTAATTAATCAATATAATACATGCAATTAGATCATTTTCCACGTGACCCCTGATGATCTCTCACAGCCAATAAGTGCAGGGGTGTGAAACTCATTTTTGCTGTGGGGCTGCATGGAGGAAAATCTGTTCCCAAGTGGGCTGCACCAATGAAATCTTACAAATTAAATAGGCCTGTTCCCTGCGAATAGCGGGGGTCAACGGTCAATATATTGTAAAAAAAAAAAAAAAAAAGATCCTTTTTGGACTCCTGTATAACTTTATAAAGCATTTTTCCTTAAGTTGCATGAAATGAATGGCAATTTTCTGTGATGTTGTTTCCATTTTTCATCAAATCCATATTTTGTATAGAGCACACAATAAAATGGACCAAGTAAATGAAATCAATCAATAAATGAAACACAAATATCCAGTGGCAGGAAAATGTCCCAATCAAAGAATGTGGTTGTCCGACTTCTTTTCAAGAAATGCAGTGAAGTGCAAAGAGTTGAATTGAATACAGAATTGATTCAAGTAACATTTTGGAATAACTACCATTTAACCGCAGTTTTGGCAACCCAAGTCTTTCATCTTGTCCTTTAGTTACCGTTAAATTCAACTGTGGCCCAGTGGTGGGACCCTATTCGAAATTAAGGGTAGCGGATGGGACCTGAGACGTGTCAGGTACATGTCGGTGTGTTCCCTCAGATTAGTCAGATTCTTGTCATTTTCGCAAATCGACATTGTGCGCGTTGGCGTGTAGGGAGGGGCGACCCTGTCCACGAACACACTTAGAACACTGCCAATAGAGGGCTCCGTCCTTTTAGCAATTACCCACAATGCACTACCGGCGGCCATATTGGAGGGCTGTTCTAAACAAGCCATATATGGCAAAAAAACAGAAGTCGCCTCATCACAACACGTACTGTACTAAACTCTTGCAATGACAATTCAAAGAACTCCTTCCTGTCTCTTTCTATGATCCACCCATCATTATTCTTTTTTGTCTCTCTGCTTCTCTCTCTTATTTCTTAAGGACGTACTGCTGCGGTGATTTACGGCCCAATTTTCATGGACGGCCTTAAATTTTCCCCGTCCACTCTTAAAAAAGTCCGTCAACGATAGAAAATTGTCGTTTACTGTAACCTCTTCGGAAACAGAAATATAAAAGATGTAAATGTTTATACAGTCTTGTGTAACTTAGATTTCGTTACAAAAGGCAGGCTTTGTTATCAGAAATCACCCCTCCTCCTCCCGGGTCCTCACAAATAAAATATGAAATGTCGGGTTTGCTTCGGGCTCGGGCCTGCAAATCAAGCTAAGTGATCGGGCTCGGGCCGGGTCGGGCTTAAATACCCTCGGGCCGGTTCGGGTCGGGCTCGATTTTTTAGGACCGATCTTAGCTCTATTGTACTTCAGATTAAGCTCCTCCCTCACAAGAGGCCCCTCCCCTTTCCCCACTACACTTCGGCATGTTTCTCAGTGGCCTTCTAGGAGGGATGTTATATCCAAACATCAGGATACAATATCACATTGTTAATTGATAATTATCACAATATTGTCGGGAGGTTTGCAATATTATAAAAAAAAGCTCACAATACTGTATAAAATCTCACACTATTCAAATAAAAACAATCCTCATATTATTGAGAAGAAAAAAAGCACAATATTGTCTTTTTGCTACATAATAACAGCAGTACTGGCCAATCATGTTATTGTCATGTAATTCACAATGCTGTCTTTGGCTGAAGTGGGTGAAAAGTAATGTTTTTTGATGGCTATGTGCTGCTTTTAATCTCATAAGAATACAATGATAATGTGGCAATTTTAATATTGCGGTATCACCATTATTGTTACATCCCTGCAACATAGTTTGTTAGCATGTCCATGACCTCATAGCGCTTTGATGGCATCTTAGCATGTGAATGACTTCATAGCATTTTGTTGATTATTTAATATAATCAACAGCCGCGAGAGTGGCTGCCTTTCCAGCATCTCCTATATTTTGTTCTTCTACTTCTTCCTTTCATAACTTTGCTGCTGTGAATTGGGAATTTCTCCATTGCGAGACTAATAAAGGATTTCTTATCTTCTTATCTTATATGTTGATCAGCACTTCATAGTATGGGATCACATAATGACTTCATAGCATGCTAACGTGTAGATTCTTTGTTTGTTAACATGCTGAGAATTTGTGTGTTGATGGCTTTTTAGCAGATCATCGTGCTGATGACTTGAATTTCATAGCTTGTTGGAAGCATCTTGCCATGTTAGCAGGTTAATGATTGCGTTGATGGCTTCTTATTTTGTGCGCATATTGTTGACTTTTTAACATGTTGATGATGACATCTTAGTGTCGTGTATAATGACATAATAATAATAATTTCATTTATAAGCGCCTTTCAAAACACTCAAGGACACTTTACATCTGAGCTTTATAGCATGTTATTAACATTGTTGACTTGTTAGTGTGTTATCATGTATATGACTTGATACCATGGTGTATTTAGCATTTAGAAAGGTGAAGGCTTCTGCTCGGTCTTGATGGGTTAATGATGAAGGCTGACGAGCTTCCCGCCTCCTACCCACATTCCTCCTGGTGACTGACCCGTGTCGGCCATTTGAAGCGTGTTTGTCCGTGCTGCTCTGGCGGGATTATTCCAATTTGAGCCCCACCTCCTCTGCCTGTTGTGTTGTCCCCTTGAAGCAGGATTGCAGTTAATTTAGGTGGTGGTTCTGTGAGGTGGGTGTTGGGGGTAGGGTGTGGCTTATCATTGACTGTGCTGCACCTGCTAGTGATTTTAAGAAGTGATGTTGCTTATGACATCAATCGGAGCACTTCACAGCGATTTCGCACTTTGCTGGATACAACACTCTTACACTTGTGGCACATGCTCAACTCTTTCTCAAGATGGCCGTTAAACTACTTTAAAAAAACAGCTGCAGCTGTTAGGATATGCTGTGCATAAGATTGATCATAAAACACAATCAATAACACAAATAAACATTATTTTCTCAGGCCTGAGGATTTCAGAAATGAACAGAAACTGTTTTTCGTTTCCGTTAGATTACCCAGTAGGAACCACTGCAACTAATTTTGGGTTCCATAAACGTTCCTCATGGGAACCCATTTTTCTATTTTGACCGATATTCATAATCAAAAATGCTGATACTCAAAAGTATCATATTTAAAGGGTAAACGTTTGAAAACAAGGCCTGAACAGTCAACATAATTATATCAGCAGCTTTGTACTCCAGATTTATTCAAGAAAATAAATGGATCAAAATATGTTGTTTCACACTTTTATTGTACTCATATGGAATCATGAATACAGCATACAACAAAATCTGGCTGTATACCATGGGCCACAAGTAAACCTGACACTGTTAACATGATTATGTGTGTGTACTATTTATGTAAATAAACATAATATCAATGGCTACCAGAGGCGATTGCTCTAAGACTGCAAGGGAAGCTCAGCTTCCCCTAAAATGTCAAAAAATAAGTGATCAAATATATGTGTGTACATACAATTGTGTGTACATGTCATTGACTAAATATGCACTACAACGCGCTCAACTTTTGTTCCGAATCAGCTTCTTATTACTGGTTACGACGCGACTCTCTTCTCATTCATTCCCGAAGCTTCACTGTGCTTTAAACTGTGTGGACGCTGAGTGTCTACAGCGTGGACGCTGGGCGTCTAGAGAGTTCAATGTAGGTTGTCCCAATGCCTTGAAACGAGACGATTCATTGGATAAATGCTGGTTTTGTCCCGTCCACCGGACGCTCAGCGTCTCTGGGAGTCTATGTTTAGTGGGCGTTTATGGGCTGGCCCGGACGCTGAGCTTTTCTGCATGATGATTGGATGATCTGTCTGACACTGAATCTCTTTTAGATTGACAGCGAAATGAGCCAATCATTTTATTTTATTTTTTTGCTGCCATCTCCATCCATCATCCACGCGCTTTCTCAGCGTGCAGACTAAAATAGCAACCTGCATGCGCACATAATGTTCCCTGTTCCACCCACCCACCACTAAAGTAGAATAGAAGAAAAACACTCACACACAACAAATACACATACAGGCACAGTGAAATCGCGTTGATCACAACGGAGAGGTTCTATCATGTACAGTCAACTATGCGCTGTGATTTTGACGGAAAACGATTTTTCGGTACCGTACAAATGATCCCACGGAAACGACACACCACCGGAAATGATCATTACCGTGAAATCCGCAGGCTTGTTTCTAATTTCTAATTAAGAAAGAGAGCTTCCTTAACATGAGCATTTGGAATATGGGAGGTCCAGCATTATTTTTCTCTCTTTCTCTCAGTGACACACACCTGCATACAATCTGGTCTTGATTTGACAGTAGATGATGGGAGTTTGAACAAACTGAAAAGAGTCGGAGCACTGAAATGTGTGTATACCTAAACTATGCTGTATTGCAGGTGCCCAGTCGGTCATTCGCGAACGACTAGTAGACTCGGGTGTTGGTCAGTCACATGGCACGAACTAAATCGCTGCCAGCCCACCTAGTTTTATGTGAGTGATAAAGCTGCCAGGCGATGGCAGTGAGTGAGTCAAAACAAGCAATAATAAATAATTAAAACTACCGTATTTTCAGGACTATAAGTGGCTCCAAAGTATAAGTCGCACCAGCCATAAAATGCATAATAAAGAAGAAAAAAACCCATGTATAAGTCGCACTGGAGTATAAGTCGCATTTTGAGGGGAAATTTATTTGATAAAATCCAACACCAAGAACGGACATATCATCTTGAAAGCCAAATACAGTAAAAGTAAAAATAGAGAACAACAGGCTGAATAAGTGTACGATACGCTAACGTTACATGATGAACAAACGTGCCTGGTATGTACACGTAACATATTCAGAGTTGTTCAGATAACCATGGCATAAAGAACATGATAACAAGTTAACCAAACTATCAGTGTCACTCCAACTCACTAATTCCAATGAAATCTTCATCCTTTGTCTCACTTTTAAAGATTTCTGCCAATTCTGGAGGTAGAAGATGCGACGCAGCCAATTGCAGGCCGCACAGAGACGAACAACCATCCACACACACACTCACACCTATGGACAATTTAGAGTGTTCAATCAGCCTGCCATACATGTGTCGCCTGCTTCTGGATGTTGTTTGATGATTTTGTTCTCTTTGAGTTGCTCATTCAACAGAAAGTGTCATTAAATACGAAGCAAAAAATATCGCGTCGAGAGCCTTCACATACAGTATACGTAAATATGTCACCCGAAGTCTTCCTCTTGATTTGTTGTTTCTTGATTGTCATTGGCTGGCTTTCACGATCGATCATCAGCAAACTTGAAAGGAGTCACGTGATTGGTTGACCTGAACTGTTCATGCAGCGCGAGCATGAAAAGTCCCAATAGTTGACTGATATTGTTTTCATTTTCAATATTAACAGGCTGAATGTTCATATATCAATAACAATACGATAACGACATATCACCTCATCTGGCACTGTGACCCAACATTGGATATTCGGGAGAAAATGGATGGAGGGATAAAGTTTGGTTTTTGGAAAATGTTTAAGATTCGAACAAGGTGAATGCTGAATTGTAGTTGATTATTAAATTGCTGACGAAGTTCAATGCTTAATTTCAGTTTTAAGTAAATCCTTGTTCTTTTAATGAAATACTGATAAATTGTAAAGTTTAGCTTAGCATTGAGTTCATGTCGTGTGACAAAAGGGTTGAGTACTTAATAATAATAGTAGTACATAATAATAATCTTTCACTAACATACACAGAATAAAACACTCAGTCTCCGTGACATCAAGATATTTTTTAAAAATATATTTTTAAAAAATGGTACATCACACTGACAATGATTTCATGCTAATGTCTCTTTCAGGGTCAGTACTGTGACATCTGTCGCCAAGGCGACAGCGACCGTGCCCACCCCATCACAAACGCCATTGATGGCACTGAGCGATGGTGGCAGAGCCCGCCGCTGTCACGCAGTACGGAGTTCAACGAGGTCAATGTCACGCTGGACCTTGGACAGGTACTACGTCCTAAGACTTGCGTTCCTTAATTAGCAAGTACTAATTCAGTCTGAGGTCAATGTTTAGTGTCAGTTTTAGCGAGACACTAAAAATCAATCTCGGCTAAATATTTACTTTTGGCAAAATGTTAAAGTTCTTTTCTGTCTAAATCATTTGCAAAGTGATCACTCTTAATACCTCCTTCTGGAAGGTAACAAAGATGGTCGTCTAGATTGAAGATTTAAGAGGTTTTTCATGAATAAATCTCAAATGTATTTTGACTTTGAACATAAACAAGTGCAAACTTATCTAACATCTCCTTCAACGCACCTTGCAGGAAGTTGCAGGAAGTTATACACACACACACACACACACACACACACACACACACACACACACACACACACACACACACACACACACACACACACGCGCACACACATCAAACCAAAGGAAGCTTTTGTGTTCTCGTGAATATTCTTTGTCTGCCTCTGCTGAACTGGCCTCTTCTGAGTGTTTACGACTACCCCCCCTCCAAAAAAAAAGGAATGTGAGTAAACCTGCCTCAACCTGCACACACAAGAACTGGTGGAGCTTAAACATCCTATGTGCATGAAGCTCCTAAAAGGGATGGAGGCACCGTATGAGGGTGTTGTGTGCACGCCAACCACTATTTGACACTGTTGCCTTATGGTGGTGGTGTTGTGTAGCTCTGAACAAAACCTCTTTACTATACCGTATACATTGTTACATAAGTAGAATACATGAAAACTATGGCAAATTAATCCAATTCAAACCAACATTGCGATGTAGAAGAATGTAACTTTCAAATTTGCAAAGGTGGTGAGTTTTGGGAAAAAAAAGGAAACACGGCCACACCAATCTCGCTCTCTTGCTCTCTCTCTCTCTCTCTCTCTCTCTCTCTCTCTCTCTCTCTCTTCCTCTCACACACACCCACCCTCTCACACACACACACACAGACACACACTCACTTGCATTTTCACACTTGTGCACTCATCCAACTCATCCAATCACATCCACTCAACTGCTCATCCAGTCACAGAGCACTTTCAAGTCTTCACGCTCCCCATTCTCCACATTGGCAATAGTGAGTTGAAACGGGGTTTCTGGGCTGTGAATATTTGCCATTCTCACCATGCAGGCAAAAAAAAATGTGGCTGATCAAAATTGCCCAAGGAAAACCGGTTCAAAAGCTGTAGCTTTGGAGATTTTTTTTTCTTCATTAAAATCGAGTCCAATCAGTGTTGCACGAGGCCAGTGACACTTGTGATAGATTAGTGTCATCACAGCATCACTTGTCAATCCAATGTTAAGCATTGTTTATCTATTCCGGTGGTGCCATTGTAGCAAGGGTTCGCAATTTAGCACCATTGTCGCAAACCGAGAATGGAAGAAAAACATAAATATGAATATATATATATA